TTTTTAAAAAAGGTGGTACTATTACTAACTAAAAAGACAGAGCTATTGTTAAGATTGGATTTCTCAAATTTTCACCTTTAATCTTGCTTTGCTTCAAAAGGGACATTTTGGGACAATTAAAACTTACTCTAAAATGTACCTTGCATGTACAAACACACATTCACAAACCTAAATGTGTGTATGAAGAGGCCATGGGTTCTGTTTGCCTGAGATTATTTTCACCCTGTTATTTTGATTGGCTTGTCTTGCTTTCCAAGGTAACAATCAACACTCTATGTTTATTAAGTGATTAAAATGACTTCATAATAGAACTAGTACAATTTTCACCTTGATAGCTATGAATATTAATTAATGTAATTTTTGAAAGGTAGTATGAAAATTTTTGTTCAAAAAATAGTACAAAAGGGCATTTATCCCCATGAAAATTTTAGGCTATTTTGATTGAAATATCAGAAACCATGTAAGGTGTATAAAAATAAAAGTTGCTTTAAATTCTGGTCTGTTTATTGTTCTCAGCTAAATTGCTTCTCTACAGAGAATGCTACTGACAAAAAGGTGAAAATAGGCCAAGAAGCACTGTGGAAATTAATAAAAACCCAGAGTGCTCTTCTTAATAGAAAGCATCTTCTATGTGTCCAAGATGTTCAAAAGTGAATGAATCCAGTGTTGCATAAAATGCTCCCATGCAATCTTAAGCTTCATGAGAATTTCTGCATAGCAAATATTTTCTGATTATTTTAGTGAAATCATCACTCATGTATCGACTTTGAACTAGTTAACTCCTGGGTAGGAAAAAAAAATGCAGATTTGTTTTGAAGGACAGGAAAAAAGCCAAACCAGTTGCAAGCCACAATTACTTCTCTCCAGCTCTGAAAGATTTTTCAGCTTTTTAAGAAAAGAGAATTAGCATAAAGTATTTCCTGGGCAAATCTTCAGGCTGAAAACTGAAGAAAATTGAAATAATGGCCCCGTGTTTGGCTTCCTTCCTCCATAACTGAAAACTCTTCCATATGTTTGCTGTTTTACCCCTCCTCAGCCAGTACTCAATCTCTTTTTGATTTCCGGAATGGCTGATCTTGTTTCCCTGTCTCTCTGTTTCGGCGCTATTATTTGAGAACAGCAGGACGTCCACGGGCATCGCTCTCTGATGAAGCAGAATCTTTCTCCTTGTTGGCATCTTGTGTCCTTGTGTCAGTGATGGGAACACTAGAATCTCAGGGGTTCCAGCTATTTACAAGGGTACAATGTGCATTTTGTCATTCGCATCCTGAGGTCTAAATCCCTCTTCAGATTTCAAACGAGTGAAAAAAAAAAAAAGAGCCAGTTCTTTGGCTGTGGGCAGCAACAAATGTGGCTCCATGCAGGAGGCAGCACCAGACCCATGCAGGGCCAGACCTCGGCAGGGCCGCTAATTACCGTTAGCAATAAGGCACTGACCGTGGCTTCTTCGGGCTCAGAAAAATGGATATGCCATCCGGCCAAGTTGAGTTCAGGGAGGTGGCCGTGCCTGAGCACCTGGCCCCAATTAGAGTTTGTTAAGGGGCATCTGGGAACCACATTGAATGGACTTGCCTCATACCAAGGATGATTTAACGCTGAGACCCATGTGAACTCTTTATTTCACCCCAAATCAGGACGCGCATTAGCATTTAAAACCCTATCAAGGTCACCGTGTCAACCCCTTTAGGAGAGCAAAGACCATCCCTCCAACTTCACATCCCCATAGCACTCCAGACTCAGGCGTCTTTCACACATTTAAAAACAAACTGTTTAAATGCTATACTCTGGCATTTTCTGTACTTAGTCCTTACTGACTTTTCCAGTTAGTTGATTTTCTTTGCCCTGCTGTGTTCGCCCCTGCTGTTAGGTCTTTCCTCTCTTTAAAACTGGGTTCTTCAGGAATGATCTTGAGTCGGCCATTTTTACCTTAGTGAGAATCAGAGTGTCTGTTTGTGTGTATGTGTGTGTGTATTGATGAATATATGTATACAGAAGTGTGTGTGTACATATTATTACTTTTCCCAAATGTTTTTACTTATCTCTAATAATAAGTGAAGTATACAAAGGTAAACTCTAGTAATAAGAAGGTCTAATATTCAAACAAGACTGGAGTGAACTTAGATGAATCATACCCATTTTATCCATAGTTCTTTCTCCACAGCCATTCTCAGTTAGGGGCCTGAAATCTTCTTCTCTTGGTAAAATGGCCTTGAGTGGCCAGTCATTAGTGTGAAGGCTCTCCTGCTATTTCCCGCTCACCATTTAGAAGTTCTATTTCTTACATCCTCCATAGGAATCTTCTCCCCTGCAATGTACAATGTAAGTTAGGTAACTTACCCTCTTCAAAAGCAAGAATAAAACTTAAAGAGGCCTGAAGGTCAAGGAACTAAGATAAGATTCACAAGTCTCTTCACCTGCCTTTGTAGCATGTGGGTTGCCATGGTGATGGGAGCATGGGAATTAGGAAAAGATGAGGAGAAGCTGTAAAACTTTTGTAAAGGCTTCCTTCTCTGAGTCTAGCCTAGACCAAGATATTGCTTGATTCTCATTACGTGATGAAGGGTGAACACTCCTGAATCCTGTCTCTTACCACCTCTGTGTTCTCCACGCTTCCCTAAGACCTTAATAGGACCAGCACTACCAGAGGATGGTGTGATGCAGCTTGCATTTTGAGCCTTATTTTTAATTGTGGAATGAGAGACTGTTGGAATTTCAAGCCTCATCCAGGGTATGCGTGCTTTTGTAAGGGTCTTGGAGGAGAGTGTGTGCTTGAGGGTGTTTGCAAAATGGGTAAGGTGGACCTTCTGGCACTCTCCTCAGGATCCGAGGCAGAAAGAAGGCCTTTTGAAATATTTGTCTTTGACTAAGTACTCTCAGTTGAGGGCCCCATACCTCTTATGTAGAAAGACATGGTCAGAGCTCCCGGTCACCATGTCTACGACCATTGATTTATAGACATTCCAGGTTTACAAGGGAAACTCTAAACAAATGCACATTTCGTGACTGGAGGAATTTGGCCCAGAAGCCTCCCTGGATCCCCTGGCCCTGGAGAGCTGGGGGCAGTGAAGCCAAAGCTAGTAGCTCAAGTCTGTCACCTGGAACTCCTTCCCAGTGTTGGCCCTCTGGGTCTTCCCTGTCAGAAGGCAAGAAAAGGCAGAAAAGGGTAGTCACAAAAGCAAGAGAGCGCAGTCTTCCCCCCCTGAAGCCTAGGACATGTGGCCTCTGCCTCCCACTCCACGGTGCTGAGCGCTGGAAGCCCAGCTGGGGCGGTCCACAGGAGAGACGGAGTCTTCCTCATGAGCTGGAGGAGGCCTGGCGTCCTTCGGCAGACCACCGCGTGAGAATAGAGCGCCTGAGGGAGGGAGACAGACGTGCTCCTAGAGAAACTACGAGCAGGGGAGTTATTTAGACAAAAGAGCTTTAAACTTCTTTGTCTGTGTGAGCACCCCAGAGTCAGAGGGTAATGGTCTAGTGGAATAGTCTATGTGGTCTGTACCCACAGTGGGGTTCTTCTTCCCTGTGAGAACTCCCCCTGGACTAGGGCCATTTCTTAAACCCTAATGTGGGTGTGCTCCAGGGAAATAGTGTCAATATACAAACGCAGCCATCGGGGACTGGAGGACACAATATCTACTCACTCCCAGCTGACGGTTACCATGAGAAAATGTATTGCCAATTTTCTGATTTTTTTTTTAAGTGAGGCTAACTAGGAATTCAGATTTTTATGTGCATCTCTTGTTCTTAGCACGCTAGTTCAGTTTTTACAAAAACAAAAAAGCTTTATAGCAGATATAGCCTATGGATGCTAATTACCCATCTTTGCCTGGAGGCTTAGACATTAAAACTACATTTTCCAAGATTCATCATGATGAGAGTTCTATGAAAAACCACGTTTGAGAAATTCAAGACAAAGTGAGTCACCCACAGGTGGTGAAGGCCATGCAGCAGCTCACACTTTGGACACTCAAACATAATTAAAGAGGAGGACAGTCTCAAAAGAACATGTCTGGAATCCACTTGCTTCTTCCAAGCTTCCTCCTGTGGTCCAAGCCACCATCATCTCTCCCTGCATCCCTGCGGGTTGCCTCCTAAGCCCTCTGCCCGTGTCTATAGCTGCCCCTTGATCCCAGCACTGCAATCAGAGAGAGCTCTTCAAAATACGCCAGATCATGTCCCTTCTCTACTCAGAACACCGCCATGGTTCCATTTCACTTGGACGCAAAGTCAAAGCCCTTACAAGGCGCTCCGAGATCCTTGGTGTTCTGGCCCTGTTCGTCTCTGCGCTCATTTCCTACTTTTCCCTCCTTTGCTCATTCTGCTCGTGAACCTCCCAGCGCTGGGCTTTTACACTGACTGTTCCCTCCGCCTTAAATGCCCTGCCCCCCGATACCCATGGATGCCCTTTAATGGAGCAGACTCCTGTGACTACTCCATTTAAAATTGTCACTCACATCCAGCCCGGGCACTCCCCTTTACTCGCTTTCCTTTTCCTTTTCATCCAGAGCACACATCCTTTCCGTCATAGTGTATGATTTATTTGTCATGACTATTGTGTATGGATTATCTTCTCCCACTGGAAGGTAAGCTCCATGAGGGCAGGAATGTTTGTTTTGCTCACTGATACATTTCCTGGAGGTAGCCTTGGGCTTGCACAAAGTACAGTGGGAGGGAGCACCACTGTATCTTTTTTAAGTGATTATTATTTTTAAACACTGATTGTGGTCATGCTGCTTGGCATGTGGGATCCTACTTCCCTGACCAGGAATGGAACCTGCACCCCTGCCGTGGAAGCCCGGAGTCTTAACCACTGGACCACCGGGAAAGTCCCCTCTGCTTTTCTTGGTCCTGACTTAGTGAAGGAGCAGAATAATGCTCGGAAACCCATCTCTGTAGAAGCCGCAGTGCCCTCACGGGTCCTCTTGTTGTGAAGAATAACCAGCACAGCTCGAGGCTTGTTTCGAAACTGGTTTGCATCTGGAGGTTCGGGGGCTCATAACATGTCAGGGACCACACGGCGTGGGGCCAAGAGGACACTGCAGGCTCCTTAAGTTTGGCTTTCCTGAAGACACTCCAGGCGCTCGAAAGCCTGGAAGGGGTGGGTCTGAAGCCGCGTGTGAAGGGCAGAGCCCGCACTGGCCCTGCCTCTCTGAAATCTGTTCTGGGATGACGAAATCTGCTCTCAAATCTGCTTGGCACAAGCCTGCTCCCCACAGCCCTGACTGATGTTCCATTAAGACCTCGAGGTAGCGAGCCTGTTTCCCCTGGAGCTTGGATGAAAAGCTGGCAGAGACACTAGCCGGCAGTTCCTGAGTGCTGGCAACTGGTCTACCCCCAACATCTGTTCCTTCCATCCTTCCTGTTACCGCACGCGCGCCGGTTAATTTCTGACTCTGAGAACACGTACTTCCTGCCACACCGCCCACCACCCTCGCTCTCTTCATGGTGACCTTCTCTCCGCACCCACTCTCGAGGGACGGTCCGTCCTCAAGACATGATCCCAAGCGAACCTGACGGACAGCGCTGATGTACCAGCGGGATCTTATTTCAGCCTTAGCACCCGCCCAACACACACATGTTTTAAATGAACACTGCACACTGCGCAAGACACCACACAGCTTACTGTCGGGATTTTTAACTTGAAAACGTGAAATGCTTACCAGGCAGGGAGGTCCTGATCTTGGCTGAAATGCCCTTCCCGTCACCGACAGCCTAGTCCTACCTAGAGAAGGCCTGGGATGGATGGCCGCTTGGGGACGGGCCTGGAAGCCACCCAGAGGCTCCAGAGCTCAGGAAAGTCTCACACAAGGAGCCAGCCTGTGAGAACCATGGACAGTCCTCAGCGACCCTGACAGATGAGACCTGAGAGGCAGCTTTCAGCCTCTGAAGCTCTGGAGAGCTAGGAAAGGAACCGGATCAAATCACTTTATGGCCTAATGGGAGAAAGGTCAAGAGCTTCAGGGCCGGCCTGGGTTGGGTCTTCCAACTGGGCTGGTCCTACATTCTCCCCAGTTTTGATGACATTTAATCCTCCCTCCAAGCCTTCATCACTTTATGCTTCCACCTCCCAGCCCAATTCCATCCATCATAGAAGCCAGCCGCATTCTGCCTCTTCTCTGGACCCTTCCTAGTCCAGTAAGTCCTTTATCTTACTGCCTCGATCCCTAGCCTTGACACACAGCTTAGCATTTCATTGCTTTGGAGTATATCCTACATATAGATTATTTCTCCTACTATCTTTTCAAAGAATAACTCCTTACAATTCAATGCTGTTGACATAATATTAAAGTGAGGACCTCAGAGAGGTCCTGGCTGACCAGGACAGTGTGACCTAAAGGAATCGAGGTGTGGTTCCGATGTGGAGAATAAAGATATCCACATGGGAGGCACGCACCCCAAGGTTTCACAAGATGCCCGCTCAAGTAGAGGAAGACAGACAGTATTAGAGCTTCTAGTTGCATTTACTTTTCAGTTTCATCTTCTTGAGATTTCTATTGAGTATGTGTAAGTTATCATACATGTATCATATTATTATAGTAGTATAGTGAAAGTGTAGATGCTCAGTTGTGTCCGACTCTTTGAGACCACATGGACTGTAGCCTACTCAGCTCCTCCATCCGTGGGATTTTTCCAGGCAAGAGTACTGGCGTGGGTTGCCATTTCCTTTTCCAGGGTATCTTCCAGACCCAGGGATTGAACCCAGGTCTCCTGCATTGTAGGCAGACGCTTTACCGTCTGAGCCACCGGGGAAGTCATGTAATTTATGATTAAAACACATAAATTGGAGGGGGTGGGTCAGTTATTTCAGAAGTAGGTGTATAATGAAAAAAAATCTTTGAGATACCAGCATAGAACTACAAATGGAAAAATAACTATCTTGATTAGTCTATATATTTCTGAGTAAAATGAAAAGAGATAATCTGATTTTAAAAGGAACTAGTCTGATGTGTTGTCTTAAAATCTAACCCCAAACCATTGGCATTTCTTACTACAATAACTGCTGTGACTTCTGAGGAATCTTCCCTTATAAAAGTGCTTGCTTCTGAGATTTCAAAGTATAGCAATGTATTGATGTTTATGAGTTATGGGACAGGGACAGTGAGTATTAATTTCTGAATAATCAGTGAGTTGAAACTAGTAAAATTCTCTTAAGTCTTTAATTGCTAAATGCCACTTTCTGGCTGTGAAGATGGGGATAAAAAGGAGAGAACTGAGTGGCTGCCATGAGACAATTATTGCAGATTACATATTACAAATTTAATGTAATCTGGTTAACAGTAAAGTGTTAACTAGCAGATCTGTGTTGTTCAAACCCTCCATCCTCCAAAGAAACGATCAGTTCTTCTCTGGCTTCTGAGAAGTAATGTCTAAATCCTCAGAATATCCTGCTTGAGAAGAGTGACTTTCCATAGCTGACTCCAGATAACTTACGTCAATGATGCGACTGATGGTGGAAGCCTTGAGTCACACTCTATCAGTCTGTCCGTGGCAGGAGTTGGAGTCTGAGTGACTGTGGTCAGGCGTGGGGGTATTCCATGCCTATGTTACCAACCCTGGCTGCAGCCCTGGACCCCAGGACTGAGGGGAGCACCCCAGGCTGGCAATGCTCGGTGCATAGAGCTCCACATCGTCGCTGGGAGGGTTAAGCGTTGCCTGTAGACTCTGACTAAGGGAGGATATTGGAAGCTTATATCTGCACTATACTCTTTCCTGATTTTAATGTGTATCTGTTCATCATAATAAACTATAACTGTAAGTAAAACAGCTTTTCTAAGTCCCGAGTCCTTTTAGTGAAGGCTCATAGGGTGGTCTTGGGGAGCTCCAGGACAAAGATGTGCACATCCATGAAGCTGATCATACTCTGTCATCTGGTCTCACTGCATAGAGGAGGAACATGAAGCTTGAAGAGGTGGAAGCGACTTGCTCAAGGTCACACAGCTGGAAAATAACAGAGCCAGGAATCCAAATCTAGGACTCAGTTAAGTTCGGTTCAGCCGCTCAGTTGTATCCGACTCTGCAACCCCATGGACTGCAGTACGCCAGGCCTCCCTGTCCATCACTAACTCGCCGAGTTTACCCAAACTCATGTCCATCGAGTCGGTGATGCCCTCCAGCCATCTCATCCTCTGTCATCCCCTTCTCCTCCCGCCTTCAATCTTTCCCAGCATCAGCATCCAGGACTGTTTGAAACTAAAACTTGTACTTAAAGTCACTCAGTCATGACCGACTCTTTGTGACCCCATGGACTCTACAGTTCATGGAATTCTCCAGGCCAGAATACTGGAGTGGGGAGCCTTTCCCTTCTCCAGGGGACCTTCATAACCCAGATATTGAACCCAGGTCTCCCACATTGCAGTGGATTCTTTACCAGCTGAGCCACAAAGGCAGCTCAAGATTACTGGAGTGGGTAGCCTTTCCCTTCTCCAGGGGATCTTCCCGACCCAGGAATTGAACCAGAGTCTCCTGCATCGCAGGCAGTTTCTTTTCCTGCAATCAAATATCAGCTCTGCCACTTACTATGAGACTTTATCCAAGTTACTTAACATTTCCCTGCCTTCAATTGCTTCCTCTGTAAAGCAGAGATGATGAAAACAGCCTCAAAGGGCCGTTATAGTGAGGCTTTAATGAGATAGCTCATGTAGAGGTATTTAGAAGAATGCCTGGCATATGGTAGACACTTAACAGTTATTAGTTTATGTAATTATGACGACAAAAGTTGTACTGGAGACTATATTTATTCTAAACTGAAGAAATAGGCCACTAGTTACATAGATGTGTGTGTGCATGCACATACATGTAGCGTGTGCATGCATATAGTGTGTGTGGGTGCATGTGCATGTATGTACATACCAGCTCTTCCCAAATCTCATCCCTGCTGCTCCTCCACGCAGCCGTTTTTTCGTGTGTTATTGGTCCAGGTTGACTCTATCAAACCGAAGAGAAGCCTGGGGTTCTGTGTGCTTTCCCTTTCCTCTTAGATGTAGCTTCCACTGCCGGGGGCAGCCATCTTTGCCTTAGGCTGAAGTTGATGCTGATGGCAGGGTGGAGAGGCAGAAAGAGTCTCATTTCATCATGATGTTCTTGAGCTGCTGAGTTCTTGGGTGCTGCCCTATTTTTAGATTTCTTGCTAGAAGAGATCATACATGTCATTACTATTTAGTCACTTTGAGTTTGGTATTTTTTTGTTTGTTTGGAACTTATAGCCAAAAGCATCTTAACTAATACAACCAACCCCCTTTATATTCAACTTTGTGTGTGTTTCAGTCGCTTGGTCGTGTCCGACTCTTTGCGATCTCATGGACTGTAGCACACCAGGCTCTTCTGTCCATGGGATTCTCCAGGCAAGAAGACTAGAGTGGGTTGCCATTCTCTGCTCTGGGGGATCTTCTCAAGTCAGGGATTGAACCCTGGTCTCCTGCATTGCAGGCAGATTCTTTACCATCTGAGCTACCAGGGAAGCCCAAGTAGTTCAACTTTAGAAAGTCTAAAGAACAGTGGACCTCTCTTTCCTTCGGTTAACTGGAATTCTTCAGATGCAAGAATAAGAAAACCAATAAAACTTACAAGACAGCCAGAGGATCACATCGGTTCGTGTGAGGGGAAGCTCCTGACGCACAGGGTGAACGTTGTGCGTTTGCTGGGGGCCCTGGCTCTGTCTCTCTGTGTAGCTGCGTCCTCAGGCTGGCCTCGTAAGATAGCTGAGCGCTGGTTCTGGGTGTTGCCCCTCTAGACGCCGTGTCCCCCCTCCTGGGACCACCCCACTGGGTGAAGCTCTACTTTTGTTCTGTGTATAATAGAGATTCCCTGATGTCAGAGAATGGGGGTCCAGGGTCTCGTTTAGATGTTGGTGTGTAAACCAGTTGCGGTTCCGAGGAGTCTGAGCATGATACTTACACATGCCCAGTAAGAGGAGGGCAGGAAGTCACGTGAGGAGCAGCCATGCCCCGGGCCGTGTGCTCTTCCACCCCTTCCTCTGAGTGTGGCTGTGTGCGGATTGACCTGCTGCAGTCATCAGGCCAAGAGATTCATGGAGATGATGTTCACGCAACACCGTCCAACTGAGGCCAGCCACCTTGCCTCTCTGATCCTCTTCTTCTGTAACCCTAATAAACTACTCCAATGCAGGTATTTTGGATACTCTTAGCTGAAACCTTTCTTGACTAACCCAGCCACCACCCAGGTTATGTGCTTCCCTGTTCATCCTCAAGGAGAGAGGACCTACTACAAACCCTACCCACTGAATCAGAGGCCTACAGTTCATTCTGATGGAGCCATCCATGACCACTGTGACCTTGGCCGACCTATGCCAGGTGGCCGTAGTCCAAAATGGAAGCAATCTTTTCCACGCCTATAATTGGGGGTGTGAGAATTTGAAGAAAATAACCACAACGTTCACCACACACCTCAAAGGTAAGCACGCTCAGACGTCTCTTCAGAAGAACTTTCCGTGAGGTGTGTGTTCAGTGGACAGCCTGCAGCACTGGCACCTGTGGACCCAGAACGATGCTCGTGCCGAGGTGGGGCTGTTAGATTCAGGCTCTACCGTCAGGCTTGCTCTTGGGTTCCACTTGGGCCAGTGCTGGACCAGGTCAGCTCTGTACTAAAGGCTCCTCCTAACAGATCTCTGTCCCTCTCTCCTGTCACAGGGGTCAGACCTACACGTTGGTCTGAAGACTCCCCTCCCCGACACAGACCTCCTCCTGCTGCTTCTTCCTCCTTCCTTTCACAGGCCTTTCCTCCAGCAGATCTCTGGCACATCCAGCTCTTTCACTGAATGATTCTCATGTGTCCAAACTCACGCAGGCACCTCGTGGACAGGACAGTGTTGCCCGCATCTGAGTCCATCGTTGCCCCAACCAGGAGCACCCCTCTCTCCCGGGAGTGCATCCTGGGGGCCTGTTTGCCTCTCTAGTCCTAGCCTGGTGACAGAGTGAATATTTTAGGCTTTGCAAGCTATCCAGTCTCTGTCTGAACTACTTGACTCTGCCATAGAGCAAAGCTGCCACAGACAATATATAAACAAGTCGGCATGACTGTGTTCCCATAAGACTTTATTGACAAAAACAGGCAGCATATCAACTGCTGACTCCTGATGTAGAAGATTGATGGGAGGTAGAGAGAAAGAAAAGAGTTAGCCAAAACAGAGAGATAATGACAGGCTGACGATTGTAGAGAAAATGAAGTGAAGGGGAAACTTCATATTATGAAGTTAATACATATTAATATCTAAAAAGTAAACTTTATAGTAAACTTCAAGGAAAAAAATTAAGCCATATAAAACCATGGCCACTTTTCCCCCCTGTGTTTATTTCCCTTCAGTAATTTTCTATTCATTATCTGGTGATTTTCAGTAAATTTCAATCACTTTCAGTGATATTGCCAAATTCTCTATAGTTACATATTATTTTTACTCAATATTATTATATCATTAACATGTCCCCATACTATTAAAATATTTTAAAGAATTATTTCTAATGGCTCTATAACATTCTACATTGTATTTCATAATTTATTTCTTTATTCTTTAATTGATTGAAGATTGACTTCAGTATCTTGACAAAAAAGGAATTTGGCTATTTACCTGATACAACCTGTTTTCATTTTTAAAAAATACATCAAAAGACTTCATGGTTTCTAATATTTGAGAAAAGTTTTATAGTTCATGGCATTTTCAGAAAGTCACAGTACATACCAACATTTCAAAATCCTTGAGAATTCTATAGTAAAGAGGTAAAAACACTTTCCCTTATCTTAACTCAGAAGTTCCCAAATATACTTGCTAATTAAATCCTTCAGTTCAGTTCAGTTCAGTCGCTCAGTCGTATCCAACTCTTTCGACCCCATGGACTGCAGCACGCCAGGCCTCCCTGTCCATCATCAGCTCCCAGAGTTTACTCAGACTCATGTCCATTGAGTTGGTGATGTCATCCAACCATCTCATCCTCTGTTGTCCCCTTCTCCCATCTTCAATCTTTCCCAGCATCAAGATCTTTTCAAATGAGTCAGTTCTTTGTATCAGGTGGCCAAAGGATTGGAGTTTCAGTTTCAGCATCAGTCCTTCCAGTGAATATTCAGGACTGATTTCCTTTAGGATGGACTGATTGGATTTTCTTGCAGTCCCATTAAATCCTGCTTCACTTTATTTTGGCTCAAGACCTACAGTATCCTGCAAGATTCAGATACTTTATGGAATACACTTTGGAAAAAGCTGCTACAGGGTTTTTCCATCGCAAAATGAACTGGAAGGAAAGCACTGTCAGCAGAATCCAGTTCTATTAAAAGTTCAAATGACTTGGTGGCTTTAATAGGTAGGCCTTACAGAATATAATCAGTGAATGCGAATACAATACACTAATTTTGTTTTTACTGTTTCTAAAAAACCCTTTTATTGAAATTAGGAAGGGGATTAAAATGTGTCAAATAGAGATTATAGATGGCCACTGAACTGAGGCAAGAAGTGAATTTATTAATCCTGTGAGAATCACAGTCTTAAAGTAAATGAAAGAGTTAGAACTCGTCAGTTTAAGAGTTATAGATTTCTTTAGTTAGAAAAGAATGATAAATGATAAGAATTGGTAGGATAATTTCAGCATGGAACATAACAGCTGAATATTATTTATATTTTATTATATATCAAGGGTATTGCAGTGTTAAAATTTCATTTTGAAATATAAATCTAAAGACATAGTAATCTGCACCTGTATTTTTGAAGTAGTGAAGTCCTCAGATGAAATTGGCACTCTGCTCATTTGTCAGTTCATTAATGCTCTTGTCATTTTGTGGAAACAGAGAAAAGAGAGAGAACACTTTCTATTTTCCAAGGAGTTCTGCTTCATTTTTTTTCATGAATTTACTTTAGCAAGAACCAGTTGAATATTCTTTCGTTAGGTATAGTGATCTCAGCAGCCATTTGTGGAAGGAAATTACTGTCTTATAGCCAGTGACAATAATTACATTCTCTTTGTAAACACAGGGAAGTCACAAAGCAGTTTCAGAGCCATTTCAAGAGGGCAAGTTCCAGATTATATCATATTTAAACAACTTTTCAGACTGTCATATTAGAAAAGCAAGTATGGTTTTATAAAGAGTATGAGTTAAATGTCATAAGTTTTACCAGCAGGACCAAAAAGCTCATATAGCATCTGAATTTCTTAGTCACCATTACCATAAAAAGTTCGAAAGGAAATATAAATAAAATTTGACACTTACTTAGTTGTAACTCATATAGGCATTGTCATCGTCCTGGATTATCAGGTAGGAAATGACGAACAGGAAAATCATGTGCTTATTTTACACATGATATATATTCCTGTTTATGTGCAGCATGCAGGTACCCATTTGGTTGATACCTCGACAAAAATGTCTATGCAAAAGGCTTCCCCCAGCAATGCCATCCTACTGTAGTGTCACAGGAGTGAACTCGCATCAAAACAACTAAGTCCAGGATGGTCAGTAATGTGAAGCCCACTGTCATACGCTTTCCTTCTACTGTCCTTACTGACTCATCACCTAACCTCTTGCAACGCTGAAATTCTGAGCCCATTCACGTTTTACTAGTGGTAAGTAGGG